GGGGGGTGCTCAGATGGGACCCTCCACCTCCACTCTTTGGCTAGGAAGTAGGCTGAGCAGCAGGCACTGACCTGCCTCCCTCTGCTCCCTCTTAGACCTCCTGTCTGTCAACCGTTCTGCCATCTTTCTGGGCCCGCGGGGTTCCCTGGACCTCCAGGCCATGTACCTGGATGAGTACCGGGACCGCCTCTTTCTGGGAGCCCGCGATGCCCTCTACTCTCTGCGGCTAGACCAAGCGTGGCCAGACCCCCGGGAGGTGAGCAGGAATGACAGGGGAGAGGGTCTGTCTGAGAGCTGGGCACCTCCAGGTGGGAGGCCAGATAAGGAAACTGAGGCTGGTGAGGTCAGGGGAGTATCTGATGTCAGCCAGACTGTGTTTCAGGTACTGTGGCCACCGCAACCAGGACAGAGGGAGGAATGTGTTCGCAAGGGAAGAGATCCTTTGGTGAGTGTTGCCGGAGGGAAAAGTCTCCGAACCCAACTCTGATCCCCAAGAAAGTCCGATCCCCAAGAGAGTCTGTGTCCATGCCCCCTGGAACCTCTGCTGGGGGACATTTGGAGCAGATCCTGGGGGCTTTGGAGGCATGTTAAGAATGTCATCCCCAGCCGACTCAGTGGCTCAGCCTATAATCCCGCACCTTTGGGAGGCTGAGGTGAGTGGATTGCCTGAGCCCACGGGTTCGAGACCCGCCTGGGCAGCGAGACCTCATCTCGACAATAAATTTAAAAAAAAATATCAGCTGGGCGTGGTAGCGCATGCCTGTAATTCCAGCTATTCGGAAGGTTGAGGCGGAAGGATCGCCAGAGCCCAGCAGGTCGAGGCTGCAGTGACTGGAAGTGGCCGCTGCACTTCAGTCTGAGTGAAAGAGTGAGACTCCAACTCAAAAAAAATAAAAAAAAAAAGAATGTCATCCCCACCCTCTTCTCCAGAGCTGATCTCCAGGCAGGTCTGAGCCTTGGGGAGTGGGGAGATGTGAGCATCCCCTCTCACCCCTCGGCCACACCCCTCCTTCTTACCTATAGACGGAATGCACCAACTTTGTGCGAGTGCTGCAGCCTTACAACAGGACCCACCTGCTGGCCTGTGGCACTGGGGCCTTCCAGCCCACCTGCGCCCTCATTGCAGTTGGGCACCGTGGGGAGGTGAGCCTGGGCTGGGCCCCACAGGAACTGAGAAGCAGTGACATTTCCTCCCTGCTGCCTGAAGGCTTCCCATTGAGCCTGGGTAGGGACAGAGGGGCAGAGGCCTGAAAGGCGCCTTTGTGCTGGGAAGCTGACCCCATTAGTGAGGCCCTGAATGAGGGTGCCTTCTGCCCAACCCCCACTCTCCAGCCACACGCGAGGGTCACTGCCTGGGTGTGGAGGGGCTGGTACTTCTTCCCCAGCTGACATCCCTCCCTCTCTCTCCCCAGCACGTCCTCTACCTGGATACTGGCAGTGTGGAAAGTGGGCGGGGGCGGTGTCCCCATGAGCCAAGTCGTCCCTTCGCCAGCACCTTTGTAGGTGGGTGATGCCCACGCCAGGGAGGAAACTGAGAGTGGGAGAGCTGGCCTATGTCACTGGGAAGGGATGGGGTCTGGCCGCTGGACCTCCTTCCCTGACACTGCCTCCACCCCCATCCCAGGTGGAGAGCTGTACACAGGCCTCACTGCTGACTTCCTGGGCCGAGAGGCCATGATCTTCCGAAGTGGGGGTCTCCGGCCAGCCCTGCGTTCTGACTCTGACCAGAGCCTCTTGCACGGTGAGCCCTGCAGAGGGCAAGGCTGGCTGGGGGGCTGCCCCTGAAACTGACAGAGAGGAGACGCTGGAGTGGAAGGGGAGGCTGCTTTATGCTCTCAGATGCCAGGCTCTAGTGGGGGATCCCCTTGCCATTCCCCTCCCCCCTGGGTTCAGCCCATCCTCCCCTGTGAGGCCCCTCCATGCCAGTGTAACCCTATCATCCACCCAGACCCCCGTTTTGTGATGGCCGCCCGGATCCCTGACAACTCTGACCAGGACAATGACAAGGTGTACTTCTTCTTCTCGGAAAAAGTCCCCTCGCCTGATGGTAGCCCAGGCCATGTCACTGTCAGCCGTGTGGGCCGTGTCTGCATGGTGAGAACTGTGAAGGAGTAGTGAAGTTCAATACATGTTGCACCCCTCACCCAGACCCGTTCCCCCCATAGCAGTAGGGAAACTGAGGCAAGGGTGCAAAGCTGACATTCACACCTCTCTCCCAATGGATGAGAGTGGAGGAGCAAGCAGGGGGGCCCATCCTTGTGGGGACCAAGGCTGACACTTGCCCTCCAACCCCTAGAATGATGCTGGTGGCCAGCGGGTGCTGGTGAACAAATGGAGCACCTTCCTCAAGGCCAGGCTGCTCTGCTCGGTGCCCGGCCCTGGTGGTGCTGAGACCCACTTTGACCAGCTGGGTAAGGACATGGTAGAGTAGGCCTGGGTGCTGGGAGTGGAGAGGGCTCAGCTGGAGAGCAGGGGCATTGACGGTGGCTATGACCATGATGCCAGTGCTCTCTTCTGTGTCCCAGAGGATGTGTTCTTGCTGTGGCCCAAGGCCGGGAGGAGCCTCGAGGTGTATGCGCTGTTCAGCACCATCAGGTGGGCACATCCTGGCTCCCTGCATCCCAACACCCCTGCTTCCTCACTTTGAGCCTCTGTCTTCACACCCCAGTCTTGCGGTGAGGCCCTGTCTTTGTCCTTGACTCAGCGACTTGTAATTGTATTCTCTGTCTTCTTCTCTTTGTCTTTGCCTTGCTGTCCTTGCTTTTCAGAGTCTCTGCTTGCTGCAGGCACTGTCACCCTCTGTTCTGCCCATGGAGCTCGGCTGCCCATTTCCTGCCTATGACAGCCACTCTGGCCTGACTGTCCTTGTGTGTCCTCGGCAGTACCGTGTTCCAGGGCTTTGCTGTCTGCCTGTACCATATGACAGACATCTGGGAGGTCTTCAACGGGCCCTTTGCCCACCGAGATGGTCCTCAGCATCAATGGGGGCCTTATGGGGGCAAGGTGCCCTTCCCCCGCCCAGGTGTGGTGAGTGTCTGCCAGGGCCAGGCCAGGAAAGAGAGGCCTGAGTAGATGCCAGGAGGGACTCCCCTTTGGAACAGCCTGTGTCTGCAGGAAGCCCATGGCAGCAGGCAGTGGCTGAGCCTGGCTCCAGAGGGCCTGGGTGGGGTGGGGTGTGGTAGGGAGAGGAGAGCCCTCCCACAGTGAGAGCAGTCACCCTGGTGGGAATGGAAACAGGCTGGGTGGGAGCTGAGGAAGTTTTCCATCCCGGGAGACTTCAGGCACTCCCTTTGCTGTTGCTCACAGTGCCCCAGCAAGATGACTGCACAGCCAGGACGACCTTTCAGCAGCACCAAGGAGTACCCGGATGAGGTGCTGCAGTTCACCCGAGCCCATCCACTCATGTTCCGGCCTGTGCGGCCTCGGCATGGCCACCCCGTGCTCGTCAAGACCCACCTGGCCCAGCAACTGCGCCAGATCGTGGTGGACCGCGTGGAGGCAGAGGATGGGACCTACGACGTCATCTTTCTGGGGACTGGTAGGAGCGCTCAGTGGAGGTGGCTGGGCTGGGGAAGTGTGTGGGGTCCCAGGTTGCCCCTTCTTTTCCCACTCACCCCTCCTCCTCTGCCCTAGATTCAGGCTCTGTGCTCAAAGTCATCGCCCTCCAGACAGGGGGCTTCGTTGAGCCTGAGGAGGTGGTTCTGGAGGAACTCCAGGTGTTTAAGGTGAGCAGGGAGCTGATCTTCCCAAACTCTGTCCTGGGTCTGAGCCTGGCTACAGGGAAGCAGGACAAGACAAGATTAGGAGGGAACCGACCAGTCTTGACTGAACTGGCAGCTGGGGTGGGGTGCTGAAAGGGATGTCCCCCACTCTGGCAGAGGTCTTGCTGATACTTCTGAATGACTGTGCCTGCAGTCTGTGCCAGGGAGGAGTAGCCAAGGGGAGTGTGCCCCTTTGCAAAGCCTTGCTGGGCTCAAACTGCCATCAGGAGGTGGCTGAGACCCCAAGTCTCCCCTGGGTTCCATTGGGCCTGCTGTAGACTCAGGCAGAGGGGCATCTGTGTTTGGGGGCCTGTCGTGTCTCCTGGACCAGAGCTGAGTGATTTGGGACAGCTGCCTCATTGCTGGGGAACAGGGCAATGAGAGGGGATGATGGTGCTCTGTGCTTTTAGCCAAACCTTCTGCTTGGAGGCCAGCCAGGACCTGGGGGACTTTCTTGTAACCACTGTCTGGAAAAGACTGTCTAGCCCTCATTGCCAGGGGTGCATGACCCAGTCTGGGAGCTAGGGGGTTCCCACCCCAGGCGTTAGGGGAAACTAAAAGCAGGGATGCAGGGGAGAGTCTCGTCCCAGCCTCCACCTCACACTGATGCTGACTCCACTCCTTCCCAGGTGCCAACACCCATCACTGAAATGGAGATCTCTGTCAAAAGGGTAAGAGCAGCTGCCATGCTCCCCATACTCTCCTGCAGCTCCTTAAGCACTGCCGGAGTCTGGGGACACAGCACTGTGGCCTGATTAGCCCCTGCAATGAGCAGTCAGGCCAGCTGGGAGTTGGGCCTCACAGGCATGAAATCAGTGGGCAATGGGAGGTTCTGAGAAGGCAAGACCATACTCAGACTAGGGGACACCCACCAAGGCCAGTTTCTAAGGCAGCAAAAGTATACTTGAAAACAAAATCCAGATTTTAAGTCAAACAAGAGTTACTTTTTAGATGCCTGCTATATTTGCCAAGGGCAAGTACCATCTCCCCAAGTTTAGCTACCCCAGTTTATCTTAGGGTAAGTCCCAACTTTTTTTTTTTTTTTTTTAGTTGGAGTCTCACTCTGTCGCCCAGACTGGAGTGCAGTGGCTGCTCCCGGCCACCGCAGCCTCGACCTGCTGGGCTCTGGCGATCCTTCCGCCTCAGCCTTCCGAGTAGCCGGAATTACAGGCATGCGCTACCACGCCCGGCTGATTTTTTG